ACTATTGTTAATATATATGACTCGAAAACCACTTTTCATTAGAAACTAATGGTCAAACTTTCATATGTCGTTTCTTTCCTTTTCGTTTCACAATTGAAAACAGCACTGATCATAAGTTTAACGGCCTTTTTGCGAATTTTGGATTTTATAAAATCTATATGTACTGAAAAAGACAGCTTAGCATCTAAGAACGTACCTAGATTTTTAAACTTGGAAGCATGTGCTATTTGATGACCCTCACATACTATCGGATCAATATTTTGTGGAGCTACCTGGCGATGATAAAGTGTCCAAAAAGTTTTAACAAAATTTATTGGTTGTTTCCAGGTAGCAGAATATGTAATTAACGATTTAAGAGCATCTTCTATTTGTTTTTTGAGCATAGGTATCAAGGTGCTTGAATTATTTAATTTCCCGTAATAATAATTACCGTAATACTCGAATAACCCGTGGCCTAGAACCGTGAAAAATCCATATCCTAATCATGCACTTTCTGCAAATATTTATCTTAATTTTCTAATTACTGGGCTTTGGACAACAATAAACTAATCATTGCCGAAAGTGCAGTAATTAAGAAAACTATTGCCGAAGGTCCAGTATTACAAACATCACTAATTAGTGAGTTCTACCACTCCAACCAAACTTTCGGCAATTGCCGAAAGTCATGCCTCGGATTAAAAGTTCCTGTCAACTAAAATCGAACTTTCGACAAATTGCCAAAGTTCCTACTCCGGATACGGCGAAAGTCCGGTGAAAACACAACTTTCGGCAATTACCAAAAGTCTGCTGCCAAAGTGTACGACGGCGAAATTCATGCTACCCCGCTCCCCCCCCTTGGTTAATTGTCTTAAATATTGAACAGTTATCGTTTTTTTAGTCAATAAATGATTATTTTAGGATGTATTCGTATTGCCGTCTGTAGCATATTTGTCCCCTTTTTTGATAAAACAAACAAACGTTAATCAAAAGAAATATCATTTACTCAAATTCAAGTGAGCATCTTTTTGTTGATATTGAGTGATTGTAAGAAATGTTTTGTTCTATGATATTTTTTTATCCCATTCAAATGGTTTTAGTATAAAGGCAGACTGCATCTTTATTTTTGTATACTTTCTCTATTTTAGTTTTCCAATTTGAACAATGTCGGTGATTTTGATTTGATTTTTTACTGTGAAGAATGTTACGAAGCTGAACGTTCGGGTGCGAAAAGTTTAACTTCTCATTTTTTTAAACCTGATTATTTTACTCTTAATAGTCTCTAGTGGTTATGGTGTAAAACTGTTGTCTTAGAAACTGGTTTTCCAGAGCTTCTCTGAAAAGCCGGTTTCAAAAATTTCTTCAAAAAACGCTTCGGTCTATTTTTTCTTTCGGTCTTATCTCTAAAAGTGAAAAAACACTATTTTTTACCAGGTTTCATTTAAAAAGTCTATGTCATTGGAAAAATTTTCAAACTTTTTAAAGCTACTGTGTAGTGCTTTTATCTTTCCACATACAACGACTTTCAGGCACATTTGGTATAGGAAGAGCGTACGCAGAAAGAAAAGAAAAAATGAACTTGCAGGCGAAATGAGTCACTTTTAGCCAAAAATGAGCTGTTTCATCTAGTACAGGTTTTCACCTCTATTAGGTCATGGGACCTAAAACGTGACTACTATTATGTAGAAGTAACCGCCTCACGTTTGTAATCACGTTTTCACATTCTTATCTGGCATGATATTCTCCTTATTGTCTAACATTCTTTTATATACGACTGTATTTCATATGTTAGAGCATGCTTTTTTGATTTATCAAATAAACCATCTGTACATACAAATAAGTTTCGAACAAGTTAGATGAAGCCTAACAAGCTTTATTGGAGCCACTACCACCAGTCGGTGACTCCACTAACGAAAATGGTGAGAACAATCTCGGGCATAATGGCCAGGTTGTCCACAACTATAACAAGTTTGTTGACGATTATTCTTACTTGGTTGTCGTTGTTGATTTGAACGACGAGTAGTTTCTGTATTAAATGATTGTGAGGAAGTTGTTCGATGCATTGGGAATGAATTTGATTGTTGAACGCTTGGTGTTGTTGTATGGTTACGTGACTGTTGTATTATAGCTGTTGTACCATATTCATCAAGTTGTATGTTAGATAATCGAACTTGAATGTTCTCATGTTGTTGCATAGTGTTAAAGAATTGTTGTGGTGTCGACATTTGTTGACCTAATGCATAATGTTGTAATTCTGATCTTAAGCCTTCTTGTAAATAGCCAATTCTTGATGAATCTAACATATTAGGATCATACTTATCACATAAATTCAATACATCACGAAAATATTTTGACAGCGCTTCATTTAAGCCTTGTTTAGGAGAAACTAATTGCCGTAATGTTTCTCGTTCGTTGTGTGATATTGATGGAAAACGTTGTGATAATAATTTGTGGAACGCGTTCCAATCTGATATTTTATCTTGGTGTTGTTGATACCATTTTTGAGCATCACCTTCTAATTTTAGTTTTGCTATAAAATATAACTGTTCATCATGACAATTGATGATTTTTCCAATTTGTGCTATATTTTTTAGCCACTCTATAATCTTTTCATTATCTTTTCCGCTAAATGTAGGTAATTGCTTTATTTTATGTTCTACCATTGACGTAATAAAACTGTTTGTTGATGGCTTTTGAATAAAAGAATTTGTTGATAGTGGTTGATCAGTTAAGATTGTTCTCGATGATAATTCTTGATCAAAATATTCGCTGCGGATGGTTGAAGATTTGTTGATGATTTTTGTTGCGTAATTGTTATTTCATTCAATTTGAATGGTGTAGGTGCCATGAATAGATTGTTCGTAGCACTATAGTTAAAGTCATCGACACCTTTTGTTGTTGAATTTTTAGAAGGAGTATCATATTGTTGTATTAACATTTGTTTGAATATGTACCAATCAGAAAATTCATTTTTATGTATATGGTACCATTGCAATGCTTGATCTCTGAGATGTAATGCGGTTAATTTGATCCATTTAAATTTCACATAATCAGCTAACTCAAATACTAGTTCAATACGTTGTAGCCACGTTACAATATCTTCATCTCTTGTACCACGAAAATCGACTATACTATCTAATAGATGTTGTATATGCAATTGTGTTGCGACATTCATATGTTTATCGACTAATGAGGTTGTGGAATTTGATTGATTACCACTGAAAAGATCGAATTTCTGTTGGTGTTGGATGCTTGATGTGGTTTGTTGTTTAGTCGTTTGATCATCATCCTGAAATGGTTCATTATCATTAATACTAGGTTGAGTATTATCTGGATTCATAAGTGGATCGGTCAATAACTTTAGAGTTGTTGGATACAATATTTTATGAGACTCTTCAATATTTGGATCTGGTAATTTGTTTGCTTTTGATCGTGTTCGATCGGCTATATTACTCATAAATCTCCCTTAAAATGTTAAATATCCACAAATAGCCACTTGTAACGTCGAGTTCGTCTTGTTGTGATGGTGTAATTTTCACAGCAAGTACCGTTGTCACCAGTTGTTAGGCTTCATCTAACTTGTTCGAAACTTATTTGTATGTACAGATGGTTTATTTGATAAATCAAAAAAGCATGCTCTAACATATGAAATACAGTCGTATATAAAAGAATGTTAGACAATAAGGAGAATATCATGCCAGATAAGAATGTGAAAACGTGATTACAAACGTGAGGCGGTTACTTCTACATAATAGTAGTCACGTTTTAGGTCCCATGACCTAACACCTCCCCCCTACAGAAAATTGGACTATCTATAAATCTATAACATGGACTATCTACAAAACTATCTAACACTCGTACCATCTCGACAGCTTCGTCCAAGGAATAAGGTGGAAAACCCTCAGTTATCAAGCAACTCCTCCTTACTATCATCAAAAACAACAACGACCAATCAACAGTCGTCAAGCGATTCTATTTCACAAAAAACCCGATGTTTGATTTTGATATTACAAAGTTAAAATATGAACAACAAAAGGATAAAACCACTCAAGATCTAACTGAACAAGTGAAAAAGAACCCAACGATTGCTTCATATGATGTTATTGATGACGTTTTATATATAAACTTATATCAAGAGCTGGTGCAAAACATATTAAATTACCATACATACCGCAATCAATGATTCCAAATGTAATGGCTGCCTACCATGATCATCCATCAAGTGGACATTTTGGCATTAAACGTGCATGGTATAAATTAAAAGATCGTTATTTTTGGCCCAACATGATGTCCACAATTACAAATTATATTAGATCATGTCATCAATGTGCCAAATTTAACATTCGAAGACGAAAACTACCTGGAAAATTACATCCTATTCGGATGGAATCTTTGAGGTTATCGGAATGGACTTTTGGGGTCCAACGTCTCTTCCATCGTCACAAGACAATCGGTATGTGCTAGTGATAACAGATTATTTATCAAAATATGTCATCGCCAAAGCTGTACCAAATAATTCAGCAACAACAACAGCTCAATTCATCGTGGAAGAAGTTATACTAAAATATGGGGTACCACGAAAAATAATCACAGATCAAGGTACACATTTTAAAAATGAATTGATGGAAAAAATTGCATTATTAATGGGATTTAAACATGCATTCGCAACAACATATCATCCACAAACGAACGGACAGGTGGAACGATTTAATGCAACATTTTATCCGCAGTTAGCAAAATTACACGATGACAATCTTAATAATTGGGATGAGTATTTACCAGCGTGCATATTTGCATATAATACTGGACTACACAGTACAACGGGCTATTCGCCGTTTCAGTTAATGTTTGCACGTGAACCTATTTTGCCTTTTGATTCACCAACATCTACTATTACATTAACCAAGCCAAATGATTATTGGACACAAATCACTCAGCAAATGAAGGTTTACAGGAGAAATGTCAAAAATAACATTATTCATCAACAACAATTGTCTAAACAACGCTATAATCAACAAAGAGCGGATCCGACTTATAAACCCGGCGATCTGGTCTTCATTAAACAAACGTCCAAAATTTGGTGAATTGTATTCAGGGCCGTTTAAAGTTTTACAACAACAACATCCTCTTACATACTCAGTGGAAGATAATCAAGCAAAAATTCAGCAACAGGTCCATGTTAGCAGAATGGAACCCGTTTACGAGAGAACGATTTAAATTCGTTCTGTGGGGATGAGCTATGAATGTTAGCTCTGGTGACAGTAAGACATAACAACTGTTCCTGCATTCTCCAAATTATATGAGGAAAACGTCAGCAATTAGGATGAATTACTACCAGCCGTCGTTTATGCCTACAACACAGGCCGCACCAGCATGATGACACTTCATTTCTTTTGAACTTTTCATGAACGTGGGCGTTCAGTTTTCTGTAGGGGGGAGGTGTTAGGTCATGGGACCTAAAACGTGACTACTGTTATGTAGAAGTAACCGCCTCACGTTTGTAATCACGTTTTCACATTCTTATCTGGCATGATATTCTCCTTATTGTCTAACATTCTTATATGGTCCGATATTGTTATCTTTGTATGGTACGACTTTCTTCTCGTATATATACGACTGTATTTCATATGTTAGAGCATGCTTTTTTGATTTATCAAATAAACCATCTGTACATACAAATAAGTTTCGAACAAGTTAGATGAAGCCTAACAACCTCATTCTTCCATTTTGTTTTGATAACTAACATTGCCACAAGATTCAGCGTGATCGATGACCTATGCATGAATGCATTTCTGAAGGTCCTAGAACGAAGAATAGAGGTACTTGAGTTACTGGAAACATAACAGTCTGCCCTATATTTTGGCGCCGATAATAATAAGCCTCGTAGAAACCAGATATTCCGAAAAATTCGCAGATCGTGTTGTAAGATTCTATTGTGTAAGACGAACTATCTTATTTGTCTTTTCCTAAACAATTAAATTAAGATTATTGAGCACCCGCCCCCGCGGCTGCGACAGCCCTGGCTACTCTTCCGCGAGATATTTAGAATCAAAATTTAAGTATTGTGCAGCACAGATGCACTTCCAAAGATGTTGATTTATACATGCCGTTCTGACAGTAGTAGATAGTAAAACATTCAGTAAAAATACGGGCGCTTGGCTACTTGTCATTACAGAGAAAATCGTCTGATACTGTAAGGAGGTTTTCGCCCAAAACTGGAACAGTCAGCCTTGATGCAGCGACCTTATCTTAAAAACTGATAAAGCACATTTTCTATATCACAAATCCTTCACAGCACGTGAAGAATGATCTTTCCGATTTTGATCTATTCTTTTCAACCTTGAGTATTCTTTTCATGTTGGGACTTAAATTAGCAACTTTGAATTTTTATTTAAATATAAGAAAACAGAACAATCAACGAAAATAAGAATGTTTTACACATACAAAATCTATCTGACAACTGGGACTAGCGGAATATACATCAATACGTGAACTTGTCCATCACAGTTATTATATTTAGTTATAATGTTCATCGATATCGATTTATTTATCCGAAACATTCAATAAGTCACGCCCACCATGTTCGTCATCTTCACAAGTTAAAAATTTTTCAGTTTTTGAAAAAGCTGGACGTTGATAATGTAAATAATTGGAAATTTCAGTAACTGTTACATCTGCTGGTGGAAATAATTTCTCACGTAATTTATTTTTATTAACAAATATCATAGTGTCATTTACTTGTATCGTACATAAATTTCTTAAAAAGTGTTGACCAAGTAAACAATAGTCACGTTTTTTGGTATTTATCATTGATGAAAAATGTTTTTCAAAATCTTTTAAAAATTGTAATGTATTCAGTAGCGTTTCCTTGTCTGGTTCAGACAATAGTACTCCATCGGTTGCCATCAAAATTGTGACAGATTCCCTATCTAATGAAAAACGTACATATGGTAGATCAAATTCTAATGGCTTTATATCGATATGTAAACGACATTTAATTGCAGCCGACGGTGAATAGTTTTATTCTATTGGTTTTATATGTAAAGTTGTATCTGTTATAATCCAACACCATAAGTTGTTCCAATCGTCCACATATATTGATCGTATGGAAAGTTTCTCATTAAATGATTAATGTCAAATTTTTTGTCTGATGTCATCGGTAGTGGAAACAATGATGAATTTGAACCACTATCAATTAAAACATATTCAATTTGAACACCACTAAATACATTATCACAACTTGGTATTAGAAAACGGTCACGGTAATTTCTTACCGCAAAGCCTTCAGCATTTTTGTTGGTTAAATATATATTTAAGCGAAGCTTAGAACCCGTAACTGTTGTGCTACTAGTCATCATGCTAGTGTGTTGATAACTACAACGAAATTCTTCTGAAATAAACAAAAAACCAGTCTTCAAATAGTATCAATATACATATTGCCCAAGAAAATTCAATCATAATGAGCAAGCAACACAATACACATCATTCAGTCTATTTATTACATTACAATGTGACAAAACTCAACGTAAGGCGTTCCGTTAATGATAGGAAATTCTATCTCCAATACGGGATAATGAAACAAAAAAATTGATAAACAGATGGTCATGTTAACGATAATCTACAGTAGAGTTGTCAATACGGATTCGAAGTACAGAAATGTTCTGCTGCAGAAATTTTACAATTGTAGCAGTACTTAAGGCAACTTTTTTTCTCTAAATATATATATTTTTTTCATGTTTCAAATATTCTATCTTTTATAATATTATATTCTGCTTACTGGCGAAAGAAACTATAGTTAGGTTTTTCTAAAATTTGGCAAAAAACCTTAACTTCATAGACAAGACTTTCCTTTTGTCCATGGACACACGAACAAGGAGGCCAGTCTGTCATGAACTAGAGATGTGCAACCCGACCCGTACCCGTAGCCGATCCGACCCGAAGGCTGGCTACGGGTCGGTTAAGGATAGAGCAGTTACGAGTACGGGTTCCGTTTTTTTTCTCTACCCGAAAACCGGAAGGTTTTAGTGAAAAATGAGAAAATTTTAGTCAAAAAATACAAGAATTTAGCTAAAATGTATGAAGTTTTAAAAAACAGATACTTGAGAAGATAATGATAATTTGTCATCTCCAGCTGAAAAACAAAAGCTTTTAGCTGAAAAACGAAAAGAAAATGTTTAGGCATAAGTCGCGTTCGGGTCGGGTACGGTTACAAAGTTCTCGGTACGGGTGGAAGAAAACATTTTGGGTCCGGTACGGGTACGAGAACCATACCCGCGCACATCTCTACCATGAACGAACTCCCACAGAAAAACTTGTCCATGCAGATTTCTAATAAAAAGTTATTATAAACATTCCATAAACAAGCCTATTATAAGAATATAAAAACTATTTAGGGTTTTATGAGGGATAATTAGTAAAGGAAATAAGCGAAAAACAAACTTTACAAAAAAAACAAAGTACTATTTTTCCATGAGTAACTCAAGGACGATAAAAGATAGAAGCTTGCGGTGTGGTCGATGACCTATACATGAATGCATTTCTGAAGGTTCCAGAACGAAGCATTGAGAAGTTCCAGGGCGTCGGGGAGAATGTCCAAAAGCTTTCGAACCAAGCAAAGCGGAACTTTTGTTTAGATTTCATTTTGTAGATGACACTTTGGACTATCGGTATATCGAAAAAAAGCCGATAGACTGTTATGTAAACTTCTTGACTTAGAAAGTGTCTTTCCCAACATCCTCTAGAAAACCGGTTTCGGCTGCGATGTATTACATCTGATTGAGCCGCAGATAGTTCGTGCTACTCAAAGAAACTTGCTTTGCAGCAAATATCTTAGTGAAAATGTGACTGTGTTCATATGTACCTGCATAGTTGCACTAACGCTCAATCAAACCGAGCACAGTCTGTTTCTGACAAGGAGAAAAAAAGACAGCCGACTTCATCTTTGTTTACGCGCAGAAAAAGCAGTTGAGTATGATTATCTTCATTTAACGGCTTAAAAAGTAATTTTGCTGCTCGTCTGCCCAAACACCGCTCTTTCGCTCAATCTTAGAAGAGTTTTTCAACTACAAATGGCTTAGAAGTCCATCTCCAGGGCGAGCAATCGTATATCAAGATTTTCTATGGTCTTATAAGATCTTATTCCAAGAAACCATAAGATTTCAAAGGATCTTGTAAGATCTTTTGCTTCTTATAAGATCTTGGAAGATTTTGTATGATATCTTTATAAAAGAATCTTATAAGATTTTGTAAGAAAAATGATCTTACAAGATCTTATAAGATTATAACATATGAAGCTGTAAGATCTCATAAGCTCACGTAAGAATTCATCAGATCGTATCAGATTATGTGCCTGATCGTGTTCTATAAATTTCCTCTAAACCCTCTTAAAAAAGTATCTTTCTCTATTCATAATATTTTCAGAGTCCTTTGCCTTTTTGAGTTTTCGATTCAAGGGTGAGGGTGAGGGGGTGAGGGTGAAGGCGATGGTAAGGGGGTGAGGGTTCTGATGGAGAAAATTGCGAATTAGTGTCAGAATTTTGATTTTTCCCAGTAAAGTCAACTTTTCTTAGCGAGGAAAAGGACTTTTTGAAGAAGCTCTTCGTAACTTTGGAGCTACGCATCTGACCAATCTAACCATGTTAAAATATTGGCTCCAGCATCTCTAGAAAAACCTGTGATAGACTTGCAAAATTAAGTTCCGGTTTTTGAGCATGGGTCTTGGATAATTATTTTGTGAGCCGATGGTTTGTTCTAAGAATGGTTTAAAACCAGTTTCTTATTCAGTTTTCTATGATCTAGCGGAAAAACTAAGTTAGAAGATTCCATCTCGTAACATATTAAGAAATAAGAGGAATCTAAGAAAAGTTGCCAAATTGGCTGTTTTCGACGCATTCCGAGTTTTTTCAAATTTTCAATCGGAAAAAAGGGTTGAAAAAACTCAAGGCATACATATTCTTGACCGCCTTGAAATTCTCTATCGAATGGTGTATGATATGCAAATAAAAAAAATTTCACTGCAACTTCGATTTCCGTGCATCTTATAAGAGACACTCTATATCACATAAAGTAACGAAGAAATGATGATCGTACAAAAACAGTCAAACGAAACGGGTATTTTCACAGTAAAATCAGAACGGACAAAAGGAAGAATTGAATCGTAACAAAGAAAGAAAAAGAGAAAATAGTAAACATAACTGTATATGTACATGCGTATACTAAAGAATGAATAATATAGATGACCTAGACGTGAAGTAGAAAGGACTAAAGGAGTGAAACACTGCAAAATGCCTCCCAGGCATAACACCCTCTGCGCCCCAGAAGGACGTAATATCCATCCTAGAAGGAGTTATAACGATTCAAGCAAATTAGAAATACCAAAAAGGGAAAAAAACTGAAGATAAACAAATAAACGAATGAATATATTAACAAAAATTGCTATACACCAAATAACTGTCTGTAATGGTTGGCAGTAAATAGATTCTCATGTAATCTTAATTCATATTCATGTTTTTGTTCTTCGACAAATAGGCCTATGTACAAGATCCAATTGCCATCTTCAAACTATTTATTGTGTCATCAATCCATCCACTGCAAGCAAATGAAGAACATAGTATCATCAAAAAAATATCATGCAAGAGATTATGACATATGCCTTCAAAGAATTATATATCATAAATTCAAAATCTGTGAAATTAAACAAGTGCTAATTTCACAGATCTTGAATTTATGATATATAATTCTTTGAAGGCATATGTCATAATCTTTTGCATGATATTTTTTTGATGATACTATGTTCTTCATTTGCTTGCAGTGGATGGATTGATGAGTTCTTGATTTCTGATGCCCTAAATGATGATGATAAGGTACTGGAGCTGCCGGTGATGCTGGCCCACTCTCCTGTTTTGACTTTTAATGATAGATCTACTTCCATCCAATTGAAAGTAGAAGAAAACTTCGGAAAATTTTAAGAAATATGATGTCCTTATGCCCTTCACTGAAAGTCTTGGGTCATACAAACGAAATGTCCGTCCGTCCGACCGTCCGCAGTAGGCGAGCGACATCGTCGTACGCGTCCTCCCGAGCGTTAGCGACAAAAAACAAAAAAAACACGTAATTACTACTTTTCTCAACAGCAGGACATCCTAGATCTGCGAGCCCTGAATAAAAAGTGTCAGAGATTTAATTTCACATATTTTATCTGCTGGCATCAGTTTGCTTAATTAGCGAGAAAAACGCTAATTTTTGATAATTAACACTTTTCACCGTGAAGCTAGCATCTGACAAATCTGGCTCTCGAACCGAAAATGTCCGAAACTAAATTTTACATATTTTATCTGCTGGCACCAACTTCGTGGCGATCTGTAATCGCGGACTGTTGGAGATGCGTTATGTTGGCGTTGGTTTAGTGGCTTTTTGTGCATTTTCCATGTTTTACCCATGGGGACTTCTGTTTTTTTCGTAATTTGGTCCAATCAGGTTTGGAGGTTTTTTTGAAGTTGGTGATTGTGTGTGTGTTTTCCGAAAATGGTTTGGGTGTGTTGCTGTGTATCGGATTTCGTTGGCAATGTGTACCGTTGGTGGTAGTGTTGTGGTGCATGCGGCTGGCTTAATGCGACACCTAGCGGTGTGCGTTTGTGTCGTGTTTCGTTGTTGTGTGTTGCGTACCGGCGAGTTTTGTAGTTTTGTGTGATTGTTCTTTTGAGAATGTGGGTAGTTGTGTACTGCAGCTGGCGGTTGGCGATGACTTGTTCGTTGATGTTGGTTAGAATGTTTAGTGTTGACGCGTATCTCGCCGTCTGCTAGCGTGCGCGTTTTGGGGATATTCTGAGGGCGTGTTTGTTTCTCAGATGCCAGCCAGAGTTAGCTTTTTAAACATCCCGAGCGGGGCCATAGAAAACTACTTGTGA